GCCAGGAGCCCCTGGGATGTACCGTGAGCTCAGCCCACAGGAGCTATGGAGTGTGTGCCCCCTGGAACCCCTCACTGGTAATGTGCCTTATTGCTAGACCCAGGCGTGGGACCCTTACTAACGGGTTCTGCCTTGGGGAGCCCCCTCCCCCAGCTTGCCTCCCCCCAGCTCCCAAGCAGATGGGCCCCACAGCTGGAGGAGGTGGCAAGGCCTGCAAAGCAGGCACCCCAGCCCAGGGTGCTGTGGCATCCAGGAAGTGCTGCCCAGACAAGTGTCCTTGGGAGCAGGCTCACACAGGGCCTCTCGTCTGTGCGCGCTGCCCCCCGAGGGAGACGCGACTCGCTTTGCGCAGGGCCCGTGAGCGGAGGGGCTGAGGTGGCCGGGGGGAGGGCAGGGCGGGAGCTGCAGCCTGTTGTCTCCTGTAGAGCCTTGGTACCAGGAGCTGCCCCATGCCTGGTTCCAGAGCTGGGGGGGCCCTGACAGGGGCCTGGTGAGGGGGGAACGTTCCTCTCCAAGGCTCAGCAACCAGCCATGACCCGTTTCTGGGCAGCAAAGCAGCCCGCAGCCCCTGGAGGCCTCGCCAGCGTCTCCCTGGAGACCAGCGGGGCGATGGGTGGAGTGAGACGCTGAGGCTCTGGGGCAAGCTCAGGGAAGGGTCCTGCAGGAGGGCACGCCCCAGGTCAGCCTGCTCTGGGGTGCCCTGGGCCCCAGCCTGCATGGCTGGGCGTGCCTCACAGACAGCCCTGCTAGCGCTGCGGGGGGCTGGCTGTTCTGTGGGGTTAGGAAGCTCTCCCCCAAGGGCCAGTCCTTACGTGGACACGCCATCGTAGTCCCCACCAAAGCCAACCGCCGCGGAGCCAGCCACCTTCTTGATGTGATCCAGGTGATCTGCGGGGGGAAGTGCCAGAGGTGAGGGGCAAGGCCCAGTGTGCGGGACCCCCCCACGTCCCTCAGGGCTGGCGCCAGACTCACCTGCGACCTGGGACAGGTTGGCAGCCGCCTTGTTGCAGGACACGTACATGTTGTAGAAGTTCACCATCACCAGTCCGCCCTTCTGGTTCTGCAGGCAGAGACATGCGGACATGGGCAGCGGGTGAACCTCCGTTTTGGGGAGGCTAGACAGCCGGCCCTGCCCCCTACCTGCTGGAGCCCTGAGACCCCCCAGGACTGGAGGAGCCCCTGCCCACCTACCCCAAGCCGCCCACTGGCCCACCCCTGGCTGCACGGGCTGGCCTGACCCCTGAGCACTGGGCTGCCGGCCAGCCCGAGCAGCTGCCTCGACCCCCGGACCGGCCTAGGGAGAAGGGGAGCGGGGGCAGGGCCCCGGCCTGGGTTAGGGGAGCCTTAGCCTGGCCTGGCCCATGGTACCCGCCGCCTGTGCACGCGGGTTCCTAAAGGCTGCAGCAGGCGAGGGCTCTGGGCCGGGCAGCCCAGTGTCTCAGCTACTGCCGGGACAGGGATCCCACGCCTGCCCCGGCGCAGGAGGGACCGTTTGCTCGTGACCTGGGGCGCCGGCGGTGGTGCTGCTCGCTGTGGTCCCCAGGATGCTGCCTCCCATTCAGAGCCCTGGACCCTTCCCTGCAGTGATCCAGCCAGCAGGCAGCGCGAGGCACCGTCAGCGCCTCCAGCTCAGACACTTAGGTACTCGCTCCCAGCGTGATGTTACCACTGGCCCCTCGTGCCCGGGATCCTGCCCCCTTGCGCCCGGGTTCCCACCCCTGGCCCCTTGCGCCTGGCCCCTAGCGCCTGGGATCCCATCCCCAGTCCCTCGTGTCCGGGCTCCTAGCGGGGCCTGCTATACCACATCCTTCCTGACCCCTGCTCGGGGGAGAGCACCGGAGGCTCGTGTGGGTTTTGTGTCTCTGCAGGAGCTGCTCCTGCCCAAGAGCTGGTCCCTCTCTGCCTGAGTCGGCGCTGTCTGCCCAGGTCTTGTGAGCTGGAGGAAACGCTCATCGCTCTGCGTGTCCAGGCCATCTTACCACCCTGCGGAGGATGTCGTCGGGCACGTTGCGCCTGTTTCTGCAGAGCTCGTAGGCTGACGAGTGGCTGAATATAACAGGAGCTTTGGAAACCTCCAGGGCGTCCTCCATCGTCTGCACAGACACGTGGGCCAGGTCGACCAGCATGCCCAGGCGGTTCATTTCCCAGACCACGCGCTAGGGGAGCGGATGAGAGACAGGTACTGAGCGTGCACGTCCCTCCTGCTAGCCGCAGGCCACGTCAGGAACAAGCTGGCCCAAGGCCCTGCAGAGTCTGAGCGGTGGGACCTGCATGTTCTCCTGGGCACCCCTCCTCACCCCACTTAGCCTCGCCCCACCTGCCCGAGTGAATGGGACCTCGCCCCCTCCCCCTGGGCGCGGGGTCTGAGCCAGGGGACCTGCCCACTCAGGGGCCGGGGGTAAGACAGGTCAGGGACAGGAGCGCCCATCCACGTGTCAACTTCCACCAGCTCACGCTTTCCTCTGGCCCCTGTGTGTGTGAGCTGCCCCGGCTGGCTGTGCCCTGCATGTGGGTAAATGGGGGTGAGCAGGGCTGGGGGCTCCATGGGCAGCAGCCGTACGGCGCTTTAGGAATGGGACGGTGCAGTGGGGCAGACGGCAGGGCTCCGGGGCCCCTGGGGTAACATGCGGGGAGTCAGCCCACAGGATCTGAACTTCACCCCCAGTGCCAGCAGAGAGCTGGGTAGTGGCACGGAAACCGTCGGGCACTGGAGGTGAGCAGCAGCCGGGTTTCTCTGCCCTTGGCAAATCACAGGGGCTGGAGCTGAGCGTTGGCTGACCGGGGTCCTGGGGCAGGGGGATGAGAATGGGGCACCAGGCGTCCCAGAGAGGCCGGGCAGCGGGGTCAGGAGTTTGCACTGCCAGGCTGCAGCTGGCTTGGAAAACACCGCAGTGGCTTTGGGAATGTGGCCAGGGATTGGCAGCTGCCGCGGTGGGAGCTGGGCTAGTTCAGCCCCTGCAGCAGCACGCCTGGCGGGCCGTGCTCTGGGACGAGCAGCCCCGGTGAGGGGAGAAGACAGCCTGGCCTGCGGCCCTGATGTGCCAGCAGCGCCCCTTCCAGAACGGCTGGTCCCTGGCTGGAGAAGTGGGGGGGGCTCTGTCCCCTCCCCATCCCCATGAGGGCCTCCAGCTGAGAGCTCCCTGCCCCACGTGTGGGCATGGGGAGGTCGGCCTCCAGCCCCCCAGGCAGTGGACACGCAGGGGCCGTTCCCACTCACCTTCCCGAATTGCGACAGGCCGTTGTGGACGGGCTGCTCCTGGTCCGTGTCCACCAGCCAGTTGTCCACCCTGCGAGCCAGAGCGCACACATCAGGCGAGCTCCTGGTCAGCCCACGCGGCCTGAGCTACTTATTGGCCCTAGGCTGCTGCCCACCCCCGAGTGCCAGCACAGGGGCAGGAAGAGGCATTGGCACCGTTCGCGGCCCTCTCTGGGCACCGGGACCCGCACTGGGACCCTGGGGCCCTGTACGTCGTTCCAAACCAACCAGGCCCCGTTCTTCTGCCCCCTGCCTCCGGACCCCACTGGGCCCAGCAAGCTGCCCTGTGCCCCAGCACCGGGGCCTTACCAGGGGGTGTTGCAGCTGTGGGTGAGGGTCATGTAGCGCACCCCCAGCCGGTAGAACATCCGCAGGGCGCCCAGGCTGCTGTCCAGGGAGTGGCCGCCCTCCACGCCAATCAAGCTGGCAACCTTCTTTGCTTGGAAGGCGTCTTCTATGCCTGCAAGAGCAGCATTTCCCAGCCTTGAGTCGGGCGAGGGAATCCCAGCCAGCCATGCCGGCTAATGGGGGCCAGGTCGCCCACGGCGGGGGTTGCCCCAGGCCTGCTGAGCTCCCCTTCTGCCTGGCAGGCCCTGGCTACCCTTGTAGGAGACCTCGGAGGGGCTGGCTCCTGACAAGCCCAGCTCCCTGCTACCGACTGCTGGACACCTCCGTGGGCTTTGCACAGGGAGAGACGCCCCCCAGACGCACACATGGCAGGTACCAGGGAACTACCTCCCTGGAGCGAGGCGGTCCGGTTCCCCGCCGCCCCGGAGAGGGACGAGCCTCTCTGGACACCAAAGTGGGCGGAGCCAGCGAACCCTGCGCCCACCCCTCAGCGGTCAAGGCGCAGGACAGGAAGTTGTCCCGGAGCCCCCGGGCGATGCTCTGGACCTGCTCCCCACAAAGCCAGTCAGGACTCTGGGGAGCCTCCTCTCCCATGGAGCAGACTGTCTCCAGGGCAAGACACTCACACGGCTTCACCTCCTGGGTCTGCCCTCGGAGCATTCAGCATATGCCCCTCCGTGCGCTTCCCACAGTGAGTCCACCCCGGCGGGGTCCCGGGGAAGCCAGAGGGTCCTGCACCCCCGCTCCGTAGTCAGACGTGACTCTCAGCCAGCCAGTAACACAGAGGTTTATTAGATGACAGGAACACGGTCTAAAACAGAGCTTGTAGGTCCAGCGAACGGGACCACTCTGCCGGGTCCATTCTGGGGCCCAGTGAGCCAGACACCCACGTCTGCCCACACTTCCCGTCCCCAGCCAGCTCCCAACTGAAACCCCTCCAGCCCCTCCTCTCTGGCCTTTGTTCCTTTCCCAGGCCAAGAGGTCACCTGATCTCTTTGTTCTCCAACACCTTCAGTTGGCATCTTTGTAGAGGAGGGGCCCAGGTCATTAGTTGCCAGGAGACAGGGTGTCAGCCATTTTCTGTCCAGCCAGCATCACATCTGCCCTCTAGGGCTCTGCAACAATCACACCCCCTTCTCCCACCACCTAGATACTTAAGAACTGCATAGGGGAAACTGAGGCACCCACACAGTATTCAGAGAAAACATTATGAACATTCCCACTTCGTCACAGAAGTATAAAAGCTCGACCCCAGAGCTCACTTGCAACACAGCCACCGGAGAGGCCAGACGCCGCTCGCGTAGCTCCCAGTCGGGAGACCACGGCAATCGGCGGCCGAACCGAGGACTGGCCAGACCAGCCAATGCCTGATGCTAGCCCGAGCCCAGAGACGCTGCCAAGCCTGCCACTCGCCAGTTACCCAGGAGCCCATGGTGTGTGACCCCGTGGAGGACGCTGTCCAGACCCAGGTACCTCTAGAGGGGAAGTTAGGAAGTAGCCCGGGAGCAGCTGACCCGAGTCTGGCAGCAGCACTGCCAGAGCCTATGTCAGTGTGTTGTGGCCAGGATCCCCACTGACTATGCAGCGGGTCTTCTATCGCTGCTAGGGCCCTGGGCTGGGACGCAGTGGAGTGGGAGGGCCTGCGTCCCCCCTGCCACCCACCTTGCGGGTGGCCATCTCCTCTCTCCCAGGCCACTCGGAGCCAGGAGCCTGGGGTTTGCTGTTCAACCGTTTGCTCAGCCCTGCCTGAGGGTCTGAGCTACTGACGGTTTGCCGCACAGCCAGGCTAGTTCCCCGATGCACCTGACCGAAGTAGCGAGGCTGTCTGGTTCCGCGCCGCCCCGGAGGGGGGATGAGCCCTGGCCGAACCCCCTACACTCCCCTATACAAGGGGCTGGCAAGGACCATGCCCTGGCAGGGTGCTGGGTGCAGAATGGCAGCGGCTGCTGGGCAGGGAGGTCCCCCTCACTCAGCTCATTCCTGGCTGGGACGCAGCCTTGGCTGTCCGTGCTCAGCTCCTGCAGCCCCCAGCCCCCCAAGGAGCCGGGCAGGGGCCGCGCACCATCGCTCACCTGTGCTGCTGGTGACACATGCAAAGGCCTCGGGGTACTTCTCGCACATGCGGTGAATGACGTCGATCTGCTCCAGCGTTCGCTTCACTGCGTCTTTGTTCTGGGTATCGCAGGGCACGTAAGCCGCCCAGAACTGAGCGGGGAGACAAGGGGGGAGTTAAGGAGCCCGGCCCGCCGTGTGGGGCAGGGCAGCCTTCAGCTGCTGAAGCGGCTGCTTTGCTTCATTCATTGCCCCCTTCAGCCCACACCCATCCCAAGCCAGCTGTGGGGCTCACTCGGTACCTGGGCCTGGGGGCAGGGGGTGACATGCACAAGCAACCAGCTGCTGCCACAGGCTTCTCACCCTGGGTGGGCACAGACCCAGAGAGGTCAGGCGGCTGCTGACGGCCACAGGGCAGGATTTCACCCCCCTGGGGGCTGAGCTGGATCCCCGGGCATCAGGAAGCCTGAACCTGAGCACGGTGGAAGTGAAAGCGGCCGTGCTGGGGAAGTGCAGGCAGTAGGTGGGTGACGGGCTGGCTTCCTCTGGCCCCAGGAAAACTCCAGCGATCGCTCAGCCGAAAGCGAGGGCCGGCTCCCCTGCCACCGGGGCTTTCCAGGGATGGGCTGAGTCATAGAGGCCCCTCGGCTGGATTGCATTGGAAGGCCCTGCCTAGTCCATGCCGCAGCATGCTGCTGGCGTCAGTGTACCCCCGGTCGGTGCGTGTGGGGGGCTGAATCTGTGTGTGCCGGGGCCTTGCTGCGAGCGTGGCTGTGTGGGCCGTGCCTGCGGGATCTGCAGCCTACCTGCCCCCCCACGTGCCCGCTCTGCAGCTTGGGGATGTTGGTGTGGGTGTCGTTCAGCAGGGTGAGGTTTGCCGGTGCCACGCTTAGCCTGTTGTTAAACTTTTTCAGCAGCTGCCAGGGGAGGTCGTTGTGTCTGGAAAGAAAGGGATGAAAGTGAGGGAGCCTGGGAGCCGTGCTCCTGCACCCCCCACATGGGAGGGGGAAGCCCCACCCACCCTGCCTGACCTCTCGGGGCAGGGGATCTGAGTGGCTGGCAAGAGCCCTCAGCCCAGGGGAAGCCTGGGCATGGACTGGCACCAGGCAAGGCTGGCGGGTAGTACTACCCAAAAGGGTATGCTGGTGTGAGGGACAGCTCCTTGTGGGACAGATACTAGGGCTGGGCTGCGCCCCATGTTTGCAGGGGGGCCAGGTACCGACAGTTACACCGGGTCACCCCCTGGCGTGGACGCAGGGTAACAGAGCTTTATTTCGCTGCCGGGACAGGACTAACCACACTCCTCTAAGCACATTTATCCCAAGGTAGCTGCGTCCACGGGTAACGCCGACAGACCCCGGTCGTCAGCGGACAGGATCGAACCGGGGACCTCTGGAGCTTAGTGCATGAGCCTCTATTGCATGAGCTAAAAGCCAACTGGCTGTTAGCTAAGGCGATAGAGCAGACTCATTAATTGCTCTCTCAGTGGTCTCGGTGCCACCCAATGGGCAGAACACCACACCCAGGAGGTGTGTGGGTTACACACGCTCGGGGCTTGTACCTTTTCCATGCTGCCCGGACAGTTGAAGCAGCACAACCTGCATTTGTAGACGAGGCCTGGTGCGGTTTAACTCCTACACATGCAGGCTGGAGAGCTGTATCGGCCTGGGGGGCACCTGATACCCACCCCTTCCCCTGCATCTCGGCCCCCTTCTCTGCTGAGCATCGCCCCAGCTCTGTGTTTTCAGCCACTGAAGCCCCACAGCCGGCTGCAGCCAGCGTTTGGAACAGGGGCCACAACCGTAACCAACTCCTCTGGGCCAGCGCCATTGCTGCTGCCCACCCAGACGCCCGGTTTTGTTGCTGTTACGTGAGTTTCGAAGCAAGGGATGGCTTGGCACACGCCTACCCGCCCGCGTGCTCTCCTCCCATCTCTGCGCGGCGGAGACGGGTCCGTCTCTGCACTGTGGCATTAGCGACGCCCGGGTGTCAGCTGGCTTCTGCACAGCCCGAGAACGGCCACCCCCACTGTTCCCGAACATGCTCAGCAAAGCACCCGGAGATCGCCGGGGCCAGCAGCACTTCCAGGCCCAGTGCCTGGAGCTGGCTGGCCCCTCTGCGGCCAGCGAGACCTGAGCCGTAGCCCATGCAGCAGACACACCGTAGCCCTTCAGCTGCTGAGTGCCCAGGGCTGGCACCGGCTCCCTGGTTTGTGCCCTTTGCCCGCTGACCTGCCCCTGCCTCAGCTCCCAGCTGGTGGGTGCCTGGAACCTGCCTGCCCTTAGTAGAACCCTCCAGCCACGGCTCCAGTCCCGAGCATGGCAACATCTGCCTCCCCCACCTCTGGGAGCCCTGCCCTGCTCTCTGCATGTGAGCGGAGACGCAGGAGCCAACGACCCTCTGCCTCCTCCCTGGGGCTTCTCTCCCCTCCTTATACTAACCCAGCCTGGGCAGAGGCCGGGCAGGGGGTCCCAGCAGCCCAGCTGAGGCTGATTAACCCTCGCAGTGCCATCTCCAGCCCCGCTAGGCTTGCGTCTCTTCCCAGCGTCTGGCCGTTGAAGCCTAGCAAACAAGACCGGCGTCCTGCATGGCGAGGATCAGCCATGGGAAGGGCTGCCCAGGGACGAGGAATCGTTAGCCTAAGACTGAATGGCTTTTTCTGCAGGCTCCCAGCCCTGTTTGTGGTGGTGTCTGGAACGAGGGGGGTGGGGACAAAGAGCTGTTAAGGTTGCTGGTGGCTTGGAGGAGGCCAGGAGGGGAGCAGGGCTTGGCTGCAGGCAGATTAGGGAGCATGATACACAGCAGGCAGCTGCCTCGTGCCCAAGGGCCTCATCCCCTGGAGCTCAGTGAGGCAGGGGCTGCAGGAGGGAGGATGCTGGCGGTGGCTGGAGTCAGAAGGTGCTGGATGATCACAATCACTCCAGTGAGGTGCTGCTACAGGACCAGCTAGACAAGCCCTGCCCCAGTTTCAGGAAGAGCCAGACCCCTGGTGGGGCGGCGGGGGGCGGGTGCCTCGAGGATGGGTCACATGCTGGGCCTTTGTCATTCCCAGCCTGAGCCGGTGGCTGGCGGCATCTCCGCTGCTCCGTCCCCCAGGGCCAGGGCCGGTGCGACCATTTAGGCAAACTAGGCAGTTGCCTAGGGCTCCAAGATTTGGGGGCGCCAAAAAGCAGTGCCCCCAATTTTTTTTTACAGCATTCCCACGCTCCCTCCCCGAGTGCCTGGTCGCCGCTCCACTTCTCCCGCCTCCCAGGCTTGCAGCACCAATCAGCTGTTTGGCGCCGCAAGCCTGGGAGGGGAGGAGAATTAGAGCGTGGGTGGCGTGCTCAGGGAGGAGGTGGAGCAGAGGTGAGCTGGGGTGGGGAGCTGCCGCGGGGGGGGGGGGGG